TTCAATCAAAGGGAAATTAGAAAATATTTGCATCAAATTATAAAGAAATTATAACATTAAATTTTGTGGGATGTAGCTAACACAGTGCTCAAGATGGAAATTTATAACTTTAAAGGTATATTTGGGAAAACAATGATTTTAAGTTCATTATCCAACCTTCCACTTGAAAAAGCTAGAAAAAGAAAATTATTCCCAAATAAAACAGAGGAAGGAAATAAAGATAGGTGTGAAAAATCACAGTAAAGAGATAAAAAGCACAACAGAAAAGAAGTTCTCGAACTTTTTGATTTCAGGATTATCTTATACTCTCAAAAATGACTGAGGATCCTAGAGTCTGGTTTATGTGTTTATATCTCCCAGTATTTACTGCATTAGAAATTAAAACATATTAAAATATATTTTATTACTTAAAATAAAATTAATAAGTCAACTCAGACAAACAACATAACTTTTTATGAAAAAAGCTGTATTTTTCCAAAAGAAAACTTTGTTGTGCAGAATAGTATTGTTTTACAGTTTCTCAAATTTCTGTAATGTCAGGCTTAATAGAGGACAGCTGGAATATCATTCTCTTCTGCATTTAATTATTATTTTGGTTGAAGTATGTGAAGAAAACCCAGCTTCACATAGATATACAGCTAGGAAGGTTAGTATTTTAAAAGCTTTTAACAGTAATTGTAGATGTCCTTTTTTTTTTTTTTTTATGTACCAGGGATTGAACCCAGAGGTGTTTAACCACTGAGCCACAACCCCAGCCCTCTTTTATATTTTTATTTAGAGACTGGGTCTCACTGAGTTGCATAGGGCCTTGCTAAGTTACTGAGGCTGGGATTATAGGCGTGCACCACTGTGTCCTTTTATTACTTACACTGTACCAAATCTTTTTGTCATTTTTTTTAGAGAGAGAAAGAGAGAGAGAGAGAGAGAGAGAGAGAGAGAGAGAGAGAGAGAGAGAGAGAATTTTTAATATTTATTTTTTAGTTTTCGGTGGACACAACATCTTTGTTGGTATGTGGTGCTGAGGACCGAACCCGGGCCACATGCACGCCAGGCGAGCGCGCTACGGCTTGAGCCACATCCCCAGCCCTGTACCAAATCTTTTTGTACTTATTATTAGTTGTGGTTGGACACAATACCTTTATTTTATTTATTTATTTTTTATGAGGTGCTGAGGATCGAACCCAGCGCCTCACACATGCTAGGCAAGTGCTTTACAGCTGAGCCACAACCACAGCCCCACTTTTTGTACTTATTACGTTGAAACTCATCGGTCCATCTTCCATTCTGAATGGATCTTTTACCCACTTTGTAAAACCACTGGAAAATATTGGTTCACATAGTTATGCAGATTTTTCTGTATTTTGACATTTCATTATACAATATAAAAAGGAATCACACTCGTTAATATGACCACCACTGTTTATGGAGAGTGGTGATTTGAATCATGGCCTCTAATTGCCTTGTGGTTGTGTTGGGCTGGGAACATCCTGTGCAAAGGTGCAGGTCAAGATGGCCCAGTTGGTATGGTGAGGCTGATCTGAGGAGGCTCCTTGCAAAAGCACAGAGCTGTCAAGTTCAGACCTTGAGCTCAGGCACGAGCTTCCGGGATAGAGAATTCTGAGCATAACAAGATAACCCGATGTCTCACCAATCCTGCGTCCTTCAGACTGCCTGTTCTGCTTTGTAGAAACTTTCCCACAGTAACCTTTGGATGAAACTGATATAATAAACGTGCTGAGCCACCTTTGGGTCACTGCTCCTCCATCAGAGGTTAGTGCCCACCTGACCTCAGCTTTTTCTATGTCTCTTTTCTTCATCCCCCACAGCCCCTCATCTGGTTTCCAAATAACAGTTGTGCAGGTTGCTGCAACTGGTGTCCGAACAGGAACATGAGGTCCAGGCAACTACTTTCAGAAGACTTTAATTGTTGGAAAGTTGTTGAGTTCATGGTAGCAAATACAAACTTTCCAAAATTCAAATTTTCTCTTGAAAAATTGAATTGTAATAATTGACAACAAATATTGTCAATTATTTCTCTTAAAGTTTCAGATTCTAACCTTGTTTATTTTTGAGAAAATGTCTGCCAAATACTCAAGTGTAAATGACTAGTTTGATTATTAGCCATTCCTTTTAAGTAAAAATGATGTTCTGGATAAAATGATATCCCCTGATAGTTGACCTTGAGACTCAATCACAACTTGTTTTCTTAAGTCAACATCATACTATAGCAGAGTGTTTATGCCTATTTACTAGCTCCTCACATGAAATACTGAATAGAAGTAGATTAAAGGAACATTAATAAAATTCACAATTTTTACAAGGATCATTTTATGAGAAATATCTACATGTATATATTTCAGTGCAACAAAATAGGTGATATAGGGGAGAGTCTAGCTCATATCTTTGGTTTTTTTTTTTTTTTTTTTTTTTTTTTTTTTGTACCAGGGATTGAACTCAGGGGCACTCAATCACTGAGCCACATCCCCAGATCTATTTTGTATTTTATTTAGAGACAGGGTCTGAGTTGCTTAGTGCATCACTTTTGCTGAGGCTGGCTTTGAACTCTTGATCCTCCTGCCTCAGCCTCCTGAGCCACTGGATTTACAGGCGTTTGCCACCTCACCCAGCTAGTCTATATTTATATGTAATTTACTTGTGTTTTCAAGACCTGTCATGTTCCAATTCCAAATATATCACTTCCATTGAATGACTGATGGCTGTTTTGTCCAATTGAATTTATGATTTCGCAAGTCTAACTAAATATTGACTTTATGATAAGAAGTATCCATCTCCTAGTCACTTAATGTCCTATAATGTGGCACATGGCTTCTTTGATGGTTCAGTAGAGTGCCAGGAGTTGTTTTTCAGAGTGTACAGTTCCTTTACTGCAGAGAGTATGGTCTTGCTCTAGAACTGCAGAGATCTATTACCATGGGCCTGAGTTGGGACATATCAGAAACTCCTTACAGCAATTTGATTCACCACAACAAACTCTAGCACTGGGGGGCTTGCCAGGGCATTATAGCCCAATAGACAAGGCTGCTTCTACCACAACCTGCCCCCCCCAACCTCTTCTCTCTCTTTTGTTACTGGGGATTGAACCCAGGGGCACTTTACCACGGAGGTACATGCCCAGCCCTTTTCTGTTTTATTGAGACAGGGTCTTGCTAAATTGCTTAGGACCTCATTGTTGATGGCTTTGAACTTGTGATCTTCTTGCCTCAGCCTCCAAAGTCACCGGGATTACAGGTGTGTGTAACTACAATCGGTACCCGACTCCATCTTTTGATAGGAGGAGATATAAAGCATCATGGCCACATTTTGCATTCTACCATGGAATTCTTGATGTATTAAATGGCCCCTCTTGTTATCCTATGTTAATAAACTATAAATTCCTGTGTTATTTGGAATAACAGAACATATTGAATTAATGATACTGAATCAGAGAATTGCTAAGCAACTCTACTGGTCAAATCTGCCTTAATGGAAGATCTTCGCCACAAGGAAGGATTGCAAAAACAAAACCCAACATTCTGCCTTGCTTCTAGTGGCCGATCATTTTTATATAGCATAGTCAGGAGGAAAAACTGACTCAAGAAATAAAACAAAAAGTTAACAGGGGTACCCTATCTAGTCCTGATTCTAAAACAATAGAAAGGTCAATATCTTTATAAACTTCTGTACCAAAATGATTTTTGTCTTTCTTACTGTGCTGATGTCTAGATATATGTCCCATGAATATGCTAATCATGTGTGAAAGTTTTTTTTTTTTTTTTTTCTCAGCATGAACAGACTCAAGTGAGCTTGTGGTCCCTTCTATTTTCAAAGCCAGCAGTGAAACATCCTCAAATCTCTTTCTTCTCTGCTTCTGGCATCGCACCTTTCTCTGACTTGGATTCTCTGGCTTCCCTCACCTAAGAAAGCCTCTGATTACGGTGGGCCCCCTTGGATAATCCAGATAGTCCTTCCATCTCAAAGAGTTTTAATCGAACCACATTCTGCTGTCCACGTGGGGTGACATTCACAGATCCCAGGGATTAGAATGCATACCTCCTTGGGAGGCAAGGGTGACGAGTACAGGGTGAATCCAGAGGTCGGCGATTGCGAAAAAGACTGTAAACATTTGTACAGCTTAATGGGTTTGTGCGTGTGAGCAGAAATCCGTATTTCTCCGGGTACAGAGACCCGGGAGTATAGTGACTGGATGGTATATAATTGCATGTTTTGTTTTACGAGGAACCGTTCCATGTGTTTCCCAGACTGGCTGCAATATTTCACATTTGTACCACCACGTACGAGGGACCCAACCTCTCGGCATCCCTGTCAGTGTCTGGGGTTGTTACCGTTCCTCAGTTTTGCCAATCGGAAAGGCGGGCAGTGCCATCTTGACTGTGGTTTTAATTTGCCATCTGCTCACGATCCTGAGCCGTTTTTCCTTGTGGATATCCATGACGGGGAAGGTGGCGGGGGCTGGCTAACCGGGCGGCTGGGGGTGGGAAGCGCAGCCTTTCTGTGGAGGGGTTCACCGAGTCGGGGCGGGCGATCGCGGGAGGCCCTAGCCGGACCCCAGCCTGTGGCTCTGCTGGGGCGGCCGTGGCGATCTCTGCGGGAACCCAGGGTAAGGACGGGGCGGGGGGGGGGCTCCCGAGCCGCGCTCCGGGGGGCCTGGGCTCAGGCCAGCAGCTCGGGAGTCCGCAGCGCGAGGCGGGACGCGAGTGCGCGGCGTCGCCCCTGCGGCCGGCGTTGCCCCCGTGGACGGGGCGGGGCGTCGGGAGCGCGGCCTTAGTCGGCGGTCTCCCTCGAGGACGACCCCTCTAGCGCTAAGCGCCGGCCCCTCGGTCCTGGCGGGAAGGAGGGCAGGGGAAACCCAGGAAGCCACACTCCCTTGGCGGGGTCCTCGCCCGTCGTCGCCGCCACCGCCTCGCCTCGCGGGCGCGGGGCCGTTTCCCGCCACCGGCAGTCGGTGCGGCCGCGAGGGGGCGCGTCAGGGCTGGCGCACCATGGCGCTCAGGGGCGGCTTCCTGGGCCTGTGGGCCTGGCTCCTGCTCCTGCAGCCACGGCTTGGCGAGGCCCGCTCGGCCTCCGCGCCCTCCTACCCCTCCGACCCTTCCGACCCCTCCGACCCCTCGGAGTCCCCTCCGCCCACCGACAAGACGCTGCTGACCCCGCCCGTGGCCACGGGGCCCACAGTTATGGTGGTTAGTTCAGGTGACCGTGATTCCTCCAGGACGACTGAATTCCCATCAGGTGACTTCTCGGCCACACCCTGACGCAGAGACTGCCTGGCCCGAGTGATCAGGACCCCTGCGGTCCAGGAGGAGGATGCAGGAACTGCGGTCCCCGGGTGCTGGGTGCGGGCTCTGAGCTACCCAGCCTGCCCTTGAGATCTGAGGGGACACAGCCATTCCCCAAGGAGTCTCAGGGATGTGGACCTGCCCTGGGGTCTGAGGGACGTGGCTTGCTCCTCCGGGTTTGAGGTTCTGGCTCAGGTTTTACTCTCAGCCCTCCCTTCACTGATCTGCTCCAGCATGTGGCCACAGGTCTATGAGGATAGTTGGTGGAAGGCCAGCCGTGCGGACAAGGTGGCCCTGGCAGGTGAGCCTGCAGATCAATAATCGACACATATGCGGAGGCTCCCTCATCTCTAATCAGTTCGTGCTTACTGCAGCCCACTGCATATTTGGGTGAGTGAGTGGGGCCCAGAGGCTTGGGCTCCTGATCTGGCTGTGTGACCTGGAGGTAGTCTTGTCCTCCACCAAGAGTTTCCTCTTCCTCATCTGAAAAGGGGGATGGGGTGAGAGCCTCCATAGTTTTTTATTTATTCTGGATGAGACCTGAGGATTTGCAATTCTGACACGTGGACAGGTGATACTGGTCTGGTGACCACACTTGGAGTACTGCTGGCTAGAGTGGTCAAGGGTTGGGGAGGGAATGTGGTTTGGAGGGAGGGAGTGGCAGATGGCTGGCCGGCAAGGATGGGGTCAGGCTGGGAAGTACCTGGACTGTGTGGAAGGGAAGTGTGTGTGTAGACCCTTCAGGATCTCTCCGTAGCCATCTGGAATACACAGTGAAGCTGGGGGACAAAGACCTGAAACATCGAGCCCCAACGTCAGTCGAGATCCCAGTCAAAGACATTGTCATCCACCAGTATTACTCTCCTCTTGGAATCATCGAACATGACATTGCACTTGCTATGCTGGCCTTCCCTGTGAATTACTCCACACACATTCAGCCTGTATGCATCCCTGAAAAGTCTTTCTTGGTAGAAACTGATACCTTGTGCTGGGTCACCGGATGGGGCAAGCTAAGCGAGCTAGGTGAGATTGTAAAGCAGGACTACAACAACCTTAGGCCCAGGAGGAGGATACCTGGCAGCTTGGTGTTGGTCTGCAAGCTAAAGGGAGGGACAGGGAGGTAGATTTTGTACTAGGTGGGTAAGGGAGGAGGGGGGACAAGATGCTGCCAGGGAGTAATTTAACAACTGTTTGTGAATTTCTGTTGGTTTGTCAAGAGTTGGGGGCTTGGGTGTCAAGCATGGTGGGGTTCTTTCAAGGGTAGATTTTAAGTAAGGGACTGATGAGCTGTCTGAATTTTAGTTGTTCCTCCACAAAAGTATCTGCTTTGATAGCTAAGGAGCTTCCTGTTTGTGAGAAGAGGCCAGAAACTCTCAGTGGGCTTGTAGGACCTCCTATTTCTTGACATTTGGGATTTTGGTACCTTTGGGGCACCATGTGTCTGAGAGTCTGTGATATTGTTCTAGAAAATAAAGTTGCTTTATAGATACACAGGACACCCTGGTGATACTTAGAGTGACAGAGTTTGGTTGATATTTCTCAGACTGACAAGACTTTGGCTTCCCTCTCCTGGGCTGTTTTTACTTTTGCTTTGGTTTGGATCTTAACATCATCCTACACTCATGTCAGTGTTAGACCTCATTTCCTCCAGGGTCAGCTGGGGACAATAGCCAGTTCCTAAGAGGATGCCTGTGTGTGAACACACTGAATTGAGACTCAGAGTAAGTACCACTGTGTCTGTCTAGTCTCATTCATGCAGATCCACTCCTAAATTATCTTTCTATAGATACAGAAAGGGCATCAGAAGAGCTTCAGGAGGCTGAGCTAAACATTATTCGTCACCAGAAATGTAATGAGTTGCTTCAGAAAAGGACAAAAACTAAAGTTCAATTTACCAAGGAAGGGATGGTCTGTGGCTATAATGATGAAGGAAAGGACTCCTGCCAGGTGAGCTTCATGGGCCCCTTGCTGCTCTGCAAAAGAGCCTGGGTGGTCCCCTAGTTCCTCCATTAACCCTTATTCAAGTTAATGGTGTGCGAGGACAAGCCACCAGGACTCTCCTGAGTTAGCCTGACATAATCCTTCAGGAGAGAGTAGTGGATTCTGCCTGGCCGGAGGCGGGGGGTAGTGGTGGTGAATCAAGCAGGTTATAATATGAAGTTCCATGTTTTGAGCCACTTTTATGTGACATGCAATGCACTTGGGTGAGCAGTTTATTCATTTCTGTCCCAGAGTAGGTGCATTATCTTTGTTTATATAGTTTTTTTGGAGCACAAATTTTTCAGTAGATAGACAATTTTTATTTGTTAAAATATTCAGTTCCGAAATCTCATGCTCACAGAAACTAGGAGCTAGCAGGTGCCTGGGGACACCACAGGTGTGCCCTGTTTGCCAGTAACTTGAAGTACCATCAGCCTGCTCTGATGTAGATCGAATCCATTTCTGCCATTTGTTTCTTTTCTCTTTCTCCAGGGAGACTCTGGGGGCCCCCTAGTCTGTGAATATAATACAACATGGATCCAGGTGGGAATTGTGAGCTGGGGCATTGGCTGTGGTCGCTTTGGCTATCCTGGTATATATACAGAAGTTAGTTACTACAGGGACTGGATAGTTACTCTAATGAACCGGGCTTCCTGTCTGGACTCAGCAAACTTCCTCATGTTAAGCCTGTGTGTAGTCATCCCGGTAACCCCGTGATTACCCTGGCCCACTCCCCTCCTGTTTCTGAGTCTCCCACTAGGCCTCTCCTCTGACCTCTCTTTCCTTCTCAATGCCCTTTCTTCAAATTCTGGTTGGGATTCATCGCCCCTGAGGAGATCCACATGGAGCACAGCAGGGAGACTGGGGCCTATGTAGTGTCCCAGCTGGTGCTCTGCTCATCTGCCTCAGCCAACCTGTGCCTGCTGGGAATATGGGTGAACTGATTCTAGCTAGAGGGCCAGCAGACCTGCCATTGGGAGCGTGGTAACTTAGGGACACCTTGCAGAACATCTGCCAAAGGAGAGAATTCATCACGATAAAGGAAGGCCGAACCTGGCCCTAGTTTCAGGGTCTCCCTGAGACTTTGTCATACCAACCTGCAAGGTGATTGCAGAGGCAGTGAAGGAGGCCCTAGCAGGTCCCTGCAGAGGTGTGAGGCCTGGGACTTTAGCATCTGGCTTGGTGCCTGGAGTTGGCACAGGTTTCCCTGTACCCAGTGTGGCTCTGTGAGTGGGTAGCCTGTGTCACACAGGCCTCATGGGGCACCCCAGACTGGCACCTATTCCTCAGGGCCCTAGTGGCTGCATTAGGGACACTCCAAGTTGTGTTGAGGCAGTTTTGAGTGTGGAGATTTCAGATGTGAACTGAATAAATGTTTGTTGGAGAGTTTCCTGTGTGTTCTGAAGCTCTGCTTACTTGGGATGTTTGCTTCCATATAACTTCCTCTGTAGAGAACTGGGTCCCTATTTAACTAAGGATGATATTCTCAGTCTCCATTAAATCCTGAAAGAGCCCAAATGAGGATTTTGTCTGCCCCCTTTGAAATGATGAGTGGTTACAGCCAGTGGCCTGTGGTCTCTGTTCCTGATTCTGACATCATCATCATCATCTATTATGGTTTGTATCTGAATTATCCCCCAAAGACTTGAAGACTCAAATGAGGAGGGCTTTGTCTCCATGCAACAATATTTAGAGGGGGAGCTTTTGGGAAATGATTGGATCATCAGAGATCTGACATCATCAATGTATTGATAACTTGAAGGCATTATCGGGAACTGGAGGAGTTGGGAACTTGTTGGGGGAAGGAGTTCACTAGGGTTGTGCCCTTGGGAGCTATTTCTTATCCCTGGCCCCTTTCTGTCTGTCTCCTTTGTGGCTGCCACGAGCTGAGCAGCTTTCCTTCGTCTGTGTTATTCTGTCTCATCACAGGCCCAAAGCAATGGAGTCAGCTGACCATGGACTGAAACCTCTAAAACCATCAGCCAAAATAAATCTTTCTTCCTCTAAGTTGTTTTCGTCAGATATTTTAATCCTAGCAGTAAAACTGATTAAGACATCATTTCTTTAGGGTGGAGTTTCATCATTGAAACTGGCCCTAGTTTCATTGATTACCCTGGCCCACTCCCCTCCTRTTTCTGAGTCTCCCACTAGGCCTCTCTTTTGACCTCCCTTTCCTTCTCAATGTCCTTTCTTCAAATTCTGGTTGATCTATAGTCTGGAGCAGGGTAGCATGAGAGTCAAAGGCTGGTGTGTGGCACACTCACACCCTGGGACCTCTCCTTGCTGCCTGTCCCTGGGGTGCCCTACAGAGACAGGATGGCCTTTGGGATGGGCCTTAGGAGCAGAGGACCCACAGGAAGGAGGCTAGAAAGGAGGGGCTCACTGTGTGTGTGTATGTGCCTGTGAGTGTGTGTGTGTGTGTGTGTGTGAGAGAGAGAGAGAGAGAGAGACAGAGACAGAGATAGAGAGAAAGAAGAGCAAGAATATGCACAGGCTCTACTCAATTGCCAGGCTACTGTCCCAGTGAACTTTGTGTCTGGCTGCTGATCATTCTCCAGACCTTTGCCTCCTCCCACCCTTTGTCCACTGCTAGAGCTCCCACTTACCAGAGGGTATCAGTGGGCAGCCTGTGATGGCCCATCTGCTACCTTGGGCAGCAAATACTGACTCACAGCTGCAATTTCATAAGAAGTGTGCTCAGCTGCGAAACTTTCCCTAAAGATGCCATCCCTTTGCAGTACAGCCTATAACAAGTGATTGGTATGCAGAGATTGAAAGGCCTGGACTCCTTCCCTACATACAGGATGAATTGGAAAGGCTTCTTGTAGGATCAATGGAGACCTCAGTTGCAACTGCCTTATAGCTCGACTTCTCCTAAGGCCCTGTTCTGTTTCACTTGCTCCTTACAAGTGTACCTCCCAAGGACATGCTCATCAACCTTGCACACAACTCTATATCAGTGTTTAGGCAACTCAGTGTAGCACATACTACCTGGGAGATTTTTCAAGCTTCAGGAAGTATGTCAATGATCTACTGCTGTGTGAGAGATCACCCCAAACTCAGTGGTTTGAAACACAATATATTCTTGTTGATCCTCATTATTTAAAGATTCTTATTTTCAAATTCACTAATTGGCTGAGGTTTATTTTGAAGCCCCAAGTCAATACAGTGTTTTTGTGGTCATGGTGGATGTGCACAGAGCCATGGAAACACTTGAATGGTGCACATGCTCCTAGCTGAGATTGGAGTGTGATGCTTTTGTTGCTTTCTTCAGCTTTTGTAAACAAGTGTCCTTTTTGTCATCTTTTTTTTCCACATTCTTTACACTTTTATGCCTTTTGTTGGCAATTTTGCTGTTTGAAAGCACCCCACATGTATTATGGAAATACTGCTTAGTGTTCCTAAGTGCAAGAAGATTGTAATGTGCCTTGTAAAGGAAACAGGTATGTTGGAGCGGCTTTATCAGGCATGAGCTGTAGTACTGATGGCCACAAATCTGGTGAATTCCTAGAGTGTATGCAGTGAGGGTGTCTTCACAGAGGAACACGTATTCGCTCATCCAGCATCATGATGGCTTTGTAGAACTTCACTCCTGTGAGTAGCAGGATTCAACAGTACTTCTCACAGTATCAAAGATTGGTTAGGCCATTCTGCCTGTCTAGTCTGAGCTCATTCCTAAGGCTACATCCATGAGGCAGCTTTATTAGAGTCCAGGATATCCCAGATGGCCTTCCAACATGAGGGGTTACCTGGTGTATGGATAGGGGTGCCTCAGTTTTCTTCCAAAGGCCTCTCATCCTTCCCTAGGCTGAGCAGGTGCCCTCAGGACGGTGTCCAGGTAGGGGAAAGCAGAAGCTACCAGGATGTTTAGCACCTGAGTTGAGGAGGTGCCCAGCTTCCCTTCTATCACATTCTGTTGTCCAAAGCAAGTCACAAGGCCAGCTCAGATTCATTGAGGGTGGGGAAGAGAATTCCATTTGTAGATGGGCAGAGATGTAAAACATTATGGCCATGTTCTCTAATCCTCCACAAGAACAATAATAACTGCAATTATTGAAACCTCTAAAATATGTGAACACTCAAAATCTTTAAAAGTTTTTCACAAAATGGCACAAGGATGAAATCACTATTTTCAAATTCTTCAGAGGAGATCATGAGAGAACGCTTGCTAGCTGCTACAATGGAGAAAGGCTTTCATCTCAATTGAGTTTGAAGTGCAATGGGAGACATCAGAGACTTTAAAAATACTAGTGAAGCCTCTTGTGTTTGTGTGCAGAGAAGTGTATGATCCTCCACGATAATGACATTTGCCTTTGTTTCCATCATTAAGGCTTTAAGAACATGTGGAATAAGTTTGTTAGCTGCTAATGATAAAACCAATCCTTTAACAACTCAGCCAGCAAATATATAGCACAGAACACTGTGTTGCTTTACAAGGGCTTATGTGACTGGAATAAGGTGGTCCTACTTGATTGTTCCAAAGAGCAGCTTCTCAGATCTTCAGTGTTCACTGGTAAATTTCTAACAGTGTATTTGTGTAAAGTTTGTCATTTCATACCCCACACACTACAGTTGCCATCACTGATCTGTTTTGCTGGCTTTTAAGCTACTTTTGGTCAAAAATMCTGCTTCCTTAAAACACAGAGTTCATGAGCATCTCAAGCTTTTTCTTTTCCTTTTTAATGATGCCTGCACTATCAGAGTATTCTAGTGTTCTCTCTTTTTGTTTGGCATATAATCATGCACAACCTTTTTATTTCTTTGAGGTGGGAGTATATTTTTATTTCCTAAATGTCATATTATAAAGATCAAATTCTTAAATGAGTATGTGCAGCTCAAAAATAAAGATATATTAAGGGAGGAAAATACTGGTCTTAGGTGCAAGGCACACTTAAAGCAAGTTTTATGTTTGGTTGTATTTTCTTTGCATATTATAAACATTTATTTAACATGTTGCAGTTTGAAGTAAAAAATTTCCAAAATGTATGCTCAACAATAATCATTAAAATGTTTGCAGCGAGGGCTGGGGATGGGGCTCAAGCGGTAGCATGCTTGCCTGGCATGTGTGTGGCCCGGGTTTGATCCTCAGCACCACATACAAACAAACATGTTGTGTCCGCCGAAAACTAAAAATAAATATTAAAAAATTCTCTCTCTCTGTCTCTCTCCTCTATCTTTAAAAAAAAAAATGTTTGCAGCAAAAAAAAAAAAAAAGAAAAGAAATCACTATTTTCAATCCCCAATTGAACTAGTGCATGAAAGCATGATCCTCAAGAGCTTGTAATGTCACAAAAGGAGGCCACCTAGACATGGTGTCTCCTAATGACAGAATGTGACACCTGCTATAATGTTGACAGGGATTGAGTGCCACTGTTGATTTGCAGGAATTAGAGGAGGCAGAGGGACCTACTAAGTTCAGACTGTGGGAGACTTGAGGGGACAAACAGCCTGGGAGTCTTCAACAGAGGAGGTGTGAGGGACTGAGGTTAAAAGTGCAGTCATAAGTGTGTGTACGGGTATATAAAACACAAAACAGTCATGCCAAACCAAAGTGTATTGTCCAAGGAAGCAAGAACTCGAAAGAAACACAAGGAATTCCATAAAGTTCAGATGAATGGTTACCTTTGAAAATGGAAGGAAATAGCTTCACAGAGGGCACACAGAAGGGTTTCACGGGGACTGGCATAACTCCTTATCTGACCTGGACTGTGGTTTCA